TCTGCATTTGTTAATTTATTTTTTAATCTAGAATCCTTGTTTTTATTTTGACAGTTATAATAAAACGAGAAATGTATGCCATAACCCTTAAAAGTTTTATAAGTGAGGAATATCTATAAAAAATAAAATCCTCTGTGATTTGTAAATTAAAACATTTAATTGATTTTTTTTCTGGAATTTCAAGGCCTGTATTTTGTATATTAACTTTTAAATTCCAATATTCACGATTGAGCATTAAAAAAGTTGGCCCATGCCACCATAGGCGTAAATTAATAAGCTCATTTATTTTGTCTGTTTTAGAAATTATGTCAGCTGGATTATTTTCCGAGCTGACATGATTCCACTGCTCAATTTTAGAGTGCTGCTGGATTTCCGATACAAGATTGGAAACAAACAACTTCCAGCTACTGGGCTGTGCGGAAATCCAGGCAAGGCAAATTGTTGAATCTGTCCAGTAAAATTTATTAGAAATTTTGACATTCAATGAATTATAAATTTTTATCATTAATTTTGTAAGTAAAACGGCGCCAAATAATTCGATTTTTGGTATTGTAATTGTTTTTAGTGGTGCCACCTTGGATTTGGCACATAATAAATTCACAGCTACTACGCCATCAGCATTTTCTGTTCTTACATAAATGGCAGCCCCATATGATATTTGGCTTGCATCACAGAAACCATGCAGTTGCACGTCAACTGCATCAAGCAACATAACATGACGTGGTATTGTTAATTTGTTTAGATTAAGAACATCATACTGGAATTGCTGCTATTTTGTAAGAATATTTACGGGCACAGATTCATCCCAATTTAATTTTAATTGCCACAGCATTAGCTTCACCTTTAAAATTATGAGACCTATGAGACCCAATGGGTCGAAAATTTGTGAAATTAAGGATAAAATTATTCTTTTGGTAACCTTTTGGGTATTAAATTGATTTTTTAGAATTAAATATTTAAATGTGTCTTGGTGAGAGTTCCAAGAAATGCCCAAAATCTTGGATTCCTCATCGTTATTGATTAAAAAGGATTCTGTTTTTTCTAAAACTTGTAACAATTGTTTTGAATTGGAGTTTCACTTTCTGAGTGGAAACCCTGATTTTATCAAAATATTAGAAATATCCTCCCTTTTGTAGATTCAATGTCATTTGACCCAGTTATATGATCATCAACATAGAAATCCCTTTTTATTGCCATGTAGGCTAAAGGGTGACTTTCCTTGAAATATTCAGCTGATTGCTGAAGACACCTTGGGGCCAAAAAAGAGGCGCTAGCTGTACCATAAGTGATGGTTTTTAATTGAAAATGGTCTATGGAAGAGTTAGGGTCGAATCTCCAAACAATTCGTTGAAAAGGAATTTGTCTGTACATCTTTGCAATGTCTGCAGTAATTACATAGTTATATTGCCTGAACCTAATTAAAATAGAAAATAAATCATCCTGTATGACTGGGCCTACCTTAAGAACATTATTAGGAGAAATACCAGACTCTGATTTGCAAGAGGCATCAAAAACGCACCTTAACTTAGTTTTTATTGAGTTTTTACGACACAATGATGTGGCATATAATAAGTTAATTGCTCCTTTGAGTCGAGTCTGGGATCTATCTTAACAATGTGACCCAAATCTAAATATTCTTGCATAAATAAATGATATTGTGTTTTTAAATTAGAATTTTTATTAAGTTTTCTTTCAATTGCAAATAATCTTTTCATTGCATTTTCTAAATTTGAACCTAATTTTTTGTAATTTGATTTAAATGGCAATTTAACAACGAAACGTCCGGACAAATCCCTATTATAATTATTTAAAAAAAATTTCGACCTCTAACTCCTCCTTCGAATATATATTTTGTTTAGTATCGCACTCCTCAACCAGCCAAAATCTTTCAATTTTAGAATCTATGCTTGACAATGAAGTTAAATGCGATTGAACCTGATTGGCAGATATATTAGTTAATGGACCTGATACAAGCCATCCTAATTTTGATTTTTGCAAAATTATATTATTGTTTAATTTTATTTGACCCACACACAGCAGGTCAAAAAATATGCCCGAGCCAAGTAATAAGTCTACCTGAGTCGGAATGTTGAACTTTGGATCTGCAATAGGATATGTTGGTTGGAATTTGTATAAATGTTTTTTCAAATGAAACTGATGGTATAATACCTGTGATTTTATCGAGAATTAAAAATGATATGTAGTTTTTATATGCATTGTAAGTGGACTGTATTGTAGCATTTTTGAATTTGGATATATTGAAATTATTTATGCCTGTAATAGGTAAATTAATATTTTTTTAATTTAAATTGGGTTTGTTAAATAATTCTTGAGTCATGAAATAAGCTTGATTGCCAGAGTCCAAGAGAGCCCGACACTGTACCGGTTGTCCATTGGAATTGAATATTTTCACTATTGCTGTTTGCAATAAGATTTGTGAACATATAGGATAATTACAATGAGCATTGATTATTTGGTTATTTTGAGAATTAAGATTTTGATTTTGTTCGTTATTTGAGGTCGTGGTGTTATTATTTTGGGGTTAATGTTAGAATTATGATTTAAGTTTTGTAAAATTTCAATATGTAAAAGCGTATTATGTTTTTTACCGCATTTTTTGCATGAACCAGAAAAACATGAATTAGTGGAATGTCCTGATTTTAAACAATTTATACATAAATTTAGTCTTTTTATTTTATTAAAACGTTGCTTGGGATCAAGTGCTAATAGTTTTTGACAATAAAAAATGATATGTGTACCCTTACAAAATTTACAAGTGATATTTTGATTATTATTTGTTTCATTAGTTGATACGTGTGAGTATGATTTAACGAAAGTTTTATCATTTTTAGTTTCAAAAGTCTCTAAAAGTTGACATCTTTCATTGAGAAATTTTGTAAATTCTGTTAGAGTTGGGAGTTCAGAGGCTGTTGTTTCTGATTCCCACTCTACTCGAGTTTCAGTACTTCAGTAATTTTGTTGCTAGTAAATAAATTAATAAGGTATCCCATTGATCTACAGGTTGTTTTAGAGATTGGAGGCATCTAAAATGAATTAAAAAGTTGTCTAGTAATTTTCGTAATTGTACATGTGATTCCTTTGTTACTTTAGGCATTTCAACAATATTTTTTATCTGTGAGTATATGATTATTTTATTGTTTAGATACCGTTCCTGAAGCATTTTCCAAGCAATGTCATAATTTGCGTCTGTTGCTTCAAGAGACTTAAGGACTCCTGACGCCTCACCTTTAAGAGCAGACTTAAGATAGTAAAACTTTTGAATATTGGTGAAGGAGTTGTTAGTATGGATTAATGCTTTAAAGGTATCGTGAAGGCTCAACCAATTTTCATATTGACCAGAAAATTCAGGTAGGCTAATTCGTGGTAATCTTATATTAGCTTCCTTTGAACTGGTTTCTGATGACGTGATAAAGCTTAGAAGACGTTCGGCATGTGCTGCTAACTCATAGTATTTTTCTTCTATAGCTATTCTATATTCAGACTCGTCATCTTGAGAAACCAATTCAATTTCAGTTTGTATAAGATTGAATGCTTCATTTAATTTTCGTATACGTACGCTTAAATCAAAAAACTTCGTAGAGTTATCAAGGTTTTTGAGATATGTCTCGATTCTGATGATAGAGCCCTTAATAACACCTCGTCTTTGTGCTAAAGCTTTAACATCAGTCATATTTGCAAAACAAGATAACTAGCAATTGAAAATAATGAAATGTTAAGATTTATGTGAGATGTAAAAAATGAAACAGCCTGTATAGCAACGAAATTGTAAATTGTATGAATGAATGAAGGCAAAACATTAAATAAAAAAATTACTACTATTTACTTTAAATTTATGAATGAAATTAATTATTTATATGATTTTAAAAAAATTGTATAAATTGCACAAATTGAAGCAAATGGTAAAATGGGAGCACTGGATGGATGATGGAATAGACTTACTTTTGACGGTACATGGGCGACCTCGTGGCCTGGTTTGGTTAGATTTTCCCCAAAAAATGATATTCTGGCTTGCAAACCTTTGGGTATAGACGTGGACTGATGGAAGACGCGGTGGACCTCGTGAATTACGCGCTGGACCTCGTTGCTGGATCTTTCAATTTTCAAAATTATCGATTATCCGGTTCGAAGGACCAATGTTAAGGATCTATAGGAAATCCTGGGTATTTTCTTTTGTTGTGTTATAAACTGCGACTTGGTTTTGGATTTGAAGTAAAATTAATTATTGTAATATTTTGTGTTTTATTCTCGATCTTGATTATATAACAATTTATTTAAGACTCTTATGTACATATGTGTGCACCTATTACATAGATAGTTACATTGGAGGGGAGTGCGCATATGCGCTCTTCAACAAAGTACAAACTTATATAATATTTTAAATTAATTTAAACACTTAACAATCATGTTATATTAAATTAAAAAAAAAGATTTATTAAATAAATTTTATTGAAAGTGTAACATTTAACATAGGAACGAACATACGAATACCTTCATAAGCATAAAATAAACATAGACTCTAAAGTCGTGAAAAAGAACAAAAATATTCCAAAACAAAAAAAAAACGGTACAAACATTGCAAAAGATTAGATGTGCAGACCACAGTCATCTTCCAAACAGTCACATTTTTCGTCTCCATTCTCTTCCTCGGGATCATCAGATTCTCTTCTACCCTCGGACAATATCCTTCTGTACCACTCCAAATTCTCATCTTCCTCTCACTTAATGCCGAACTGTTGCTCCATAAGATGACGAATAGTTTTTTTCTTTTTGTTTAAAGTTTTGATGACATTGAGCTTTAACAGTACACAGTCCTTTTTTGGTTTTACCTTTTTGTAAGATTATTCTTTTCAAGTCGGAAATGCCCTCAACTTTCTTAAGATTGTCTTGTAGTTTTTTAATATAATAGAGTTTCCAGTCAACAGAAAGTTGTTTCACATTGCCAAATTCTGAATAAATCTTCAAGTAATCTTCTTTTTGTATTAGCGTCGTATTTTTTCGTGAGTCTTTTCTATCCGCCCAAACACTCTATCGGCAGGCAAAAAACTATGACCTCGGACAGGATAGGTCACCTGGATTTCTTCGACTCCTTTTGGGGATTTCACTTTAAGCCAATGGTAAAGAGCATGTATTACATGCGAGTTCTTATTTTGCCTCCCACAGCCATCGCAAAAGAGCCTCAACACTTTAATGCCTTCATAGTCAAGAGTATCCAGGTGAGCTAGAAGTGCAGAACCAATCTCAACTGAACCTCGTCCGTCTAGATCTTCCGTCCATATATAAAATGTTGGAAAATTAGAGTCCATTCCAACGCAGCAAAATACATACAAACTCACTTGATGGGAGTAAAAAGAATCTGAGATAGGGGTACGCGGTAAAGGTTGCACTTGTTGCATATTGAAACAGAAAGTTATTGAGTTGGGAGGGTTTTCTTTTGCCAAGTCATAAAAAGCCTTCGATCTTTTTCTGTGAATTCTTAGCTCTACGATGAGATCGGATTTCTTTTTAGCGTCTTTTTCGGACTTGATGTTATGTCTAAGACGAGTACACAAGGAACAAATATTTGCAGCAGGTGAGGTGAATCTTATGTTGAATTCTCGACAGAAAATTCTTGAAAACATTGATAAGCTACATTTTTATCTGTCTTTACCTTCACACTTTAAATTGTACATTTTGTGAAGTTTCGCGATGCTCAAATTGGCTGCCAAATAAATTCTTTGAGATTTTAACCTGTTGTATTGACTTTCCGTTCCTTTTAGGTCTCCAATGAATTCTCTGATTTTGCGTTTTTTATGTTTGTGTTTATGCGAGATTTTGTCGCCACCACGATTTTCTTTGAGTGCTTTCCCCTCATAAATAATTTTTGCAACGGTATTGATGCGGTTTTTCGTGAAACCCAAAACATTACAGAAAAACTTCTGACAAACTCTAAATGACCGATAATTTCTGGTTTTCACATTAAAGGTGATATTGAGAGAACGATTTTTAGGGTTATTTCTCACGAGCCGCTCCCTTGTTACTGATTTAACTCCCAACATGTGGCATAGTTTGAGGTCCTGTGTTGTTTTATTAGCAATGCCATAAAATATCTCACGAATACGTTTGATGTCATTAATTCGAATGTTATTGCACCTGTAACTCTTGCCGTCATGGTTGCAAGGACGTTTAAATGTTGTTAACAATGGATCTTTATCTATATATTTCTATCGCTTATATAACTCCCTTTTTTATGCGTTTGCGGACTTCTCCTACGACTTTCTCGACTACCTGTAAAGAAACAAATCTTGAGACAAACCGAACAAAAGTTGAACAGATAATTTTTCGACCGTAAGGTACCTAAACTATATTTAATAAAGTTTAGGTGGTAGGCATACCTTATAAGGTCGAAAGAACATCAATAAAATCAGGTTAGTATAATAAATATCGAGTTTTTTATTTACCTTCTTGCACATAAATTTACGATTTCCCCGATTCCTCCATTTGTTGACGAAAAACAGAAACACTTATTGACAGTCTGTACTGATTTTGACAAGTTTAAAAGCAGCCATCGACTATTTTATTTCCATGGTAACGCAATTTAAGTTAATTTAAAATAACAATAATGTGGATTTATCTTGTTTTCATTGAAACAAGAATTTAAAATGTATTAATTTAGATTTATCTGCTTTTGTTTAATTTGCTAGGTTTCGAGACCGGTATTCTATATCAATTACTTGGTTTGGGTCAATTTTGAGTTCACCAATGGATTAATCTGACTTCATTTACTGTTAGTTCATACCTAACTCATTTTTTAACAAAACTGGATTTATCTGCTTTTGTCTGATTGCTCCACATTTACAAAACAATACAATATAATTTTATTTTAATAATCTATAGAGATTTCTAGGTTTAGTTTTAAACTAAATCAATTTGTTATTCTTTCAATTACATTAATATTATTATACGTTGCAATACATTCAGATTTAAACTTGTTTGCTGTGTTTGCCACATTGTAGTCCTTATAGGAACCGGATAAAGCCTGCTGTAAAATACTTGTTGCCTCTATTTTCTATAAACACAATCCAATAAATCCGTTTTTACAATATATCTTAAGTAGGGTTGGGACAGTTGAAATTTTCAAATGAAAATTTCAACTTTGAAAGTTTCAAACTTGAAATATTTCATTTAGTTTGAAAAGTGAAATTTTTAAAAATTTCAAATGACATTTTCAATTCGAAAATTTCAAAATTGCCTATGAAACTTTCAGAAATTTCATTGAAAGTTTCGCAATTTACTGAAAATTTCGCATAAATTTCACATGCGGCCTTCCCTGGGACCTTTAATAATAATTTACAACAGATTCCGAATCGACCAATAAGAACGAGTTATCAAGCGTCTGGGCGTTTTTGTTTAGTTCGGCTTGGATTTGAATACACTATAAGTAATTATTGTTACTTATATGCTTAAATTAATTTAAATAATTTAATTCAGTTACGAATTTAATTAGTAAATTAAATCAGACTTTAAAATTTTTTTAAAAGTCATGATTAATTTAAACTTTTACTTTTGCTATAATTGCATCGAAAAACGGAAAAAAATTCCTTTGGCTCATAAAATTTTGATAAAGTTTCTTCAATTTTCCTAAAATTTCAGTAAAATATATAAAAATAATAAATATATATAAATATAAAACAATGAAAGTGGCACAATCTCATTAGCTTACCAAAAAGTGCAATATTTCTCTTAGTTTTAGTAATTTTAAAAATATTTTAAAAGGAAATTTCAAGAAATTTGTGATAAACATAGGAATTTACTATTTATATTATTGATGGTCAGGGGCCCACAGAGGGGTAGGAGTTAAGAAAGGCAATTTGCCCTGGTCCCTGAGTGGGCTTATTTCAATATTATTATATTATACTTAAAGTGATTGAAATTTATTGAAAGTTTCAATAAATTTCATAATTTTAGGAAATTTTAATAAATTTCATAAATGTCATGAAAATTTCAAGTAAAATTTCAAGTACAAGCAAAAAGTGAAATTTTCTTAAGTACTTTTTAAGCACATGTTAAGGATTTGTAAACCTTTCTAAGAAACTTATAAATTCAGATTTAAACTTGTTTGCTGTGTTTGCCACATTGTAGTCCTTATAGGAACCGGATAAAGCCTGCTGTAAAATACTTGTTGCCTCTATTTTCTATAAACACAATCCAATAAATCCGTTTTTACAATATATCTTAAGTAGGGTTGGGACAGTTGAAATTTTCAAATGAAAATTTCAACTTTGAAAGTTTCAAACTTGAAATATTTCATTTAGTTTGAAAAGTGAAATTTTTAAAAATTTCAAATGACATTTTCAATTCGAAAATTTCAAAATTGCCTATGAAACTTTCAGAAATTTCATTGAAAGTTTCGCAATTTACTGAAAATTTCGCATAAATTTCACATGCGGCCTTCCCTGGGACCTTTAATAATAATTTACAACAGATTCCGAATCGACCAATAAGAACGAGTTATCAAGTGTCTGGGCGTTTTTGTTTAGTTCGGCTTGGATTTGAATACACTATAAGTAATTATTGTTACTTATATGCTTAAATTAATTTAAATAATTTAATTCAGTTACGAATTTAATTAGTAAATTAAATCAGACTTTAAAATTTTTTTAAAAGTCATGATTAATTTAAACTTTTACTTTTGCTATATTTACATCGAAAAACGGAAAAAAATTCCTTTGGCTCATAAAATTTTGATAAAGTTTCTTCAATTTTCCTAAAATTTCAGTAAAATATATAAAAATAATAAATATATATAAATATAAAACAATGAAAGTGGCACAATCTCATTAGCTTACCAAAAAGTGCAATATTTCTCTTAGTTTTAGTAATTTTAAAAATATTTTAACAGGAAATTTCAAGAAATTTGTGATAAACATAGGAATTTACTATTTATATTATTGATGGTCAGGGGCCCACAGAGGGGTAGGAGTTAAGAAAGGCAATTTGCCCTGGTCCCTGAGTGGGCTTATTTCAATATTATTATATTATACTTAAAGTGATTGAAATTTATTGAAAGTTTCAATAAATTTCATAATTTTAGGAAATTTTAATAAATTTCATAAATGTCATGAAAATTTCAAGTAAAATTTCAAGTACAAGCAAAAAGTGAAATTTTCTTAAGTACTTTTTAAGCACATGTTAAGGATTTGTAAACCTTTCTAAGAAACTTATAAATGCGGCCTTCTCCCTATTACAAGCTTAATTCGAAAAAAGACTGTGACAACACTTAAAATATACATCAATTGTCTTTAAGGGGCAGAGTGTCATTTATATTTACATAGCCCTGTAAAACATCAAGGGTTTCCCCAACAAGGAATATACAAGGTTGCGATGTAATACCCAAGTTTTTGTGTTTTTCTTTCAACTGTTGTTTAGGAGCGTTCAATTGCCTTAAAATCCCATTTCCTGTTAATATCCTAAAAAACTTTCTTCTTTTTTTGTATTTAGTTCAGTAAAAAATCCATTGGAGATATCTGGGAAGCGATGTTTGAAATTAATTTCAAGCTAAAAATACTAAGTTACTACTATAAGCTATTTTGACTTTCAAAAATAATGTTTTATACCAACTGATAGCCAAGGGGTTTTTTAAGAATTTTATACTCGTCCAAATATTGGTGGATTGTTTTATCATCATTGGACTTTTACGCCTGTGGGCGATATAAGGGAATCATTTCCCATTTGTACAAAACATCTGGCATTGTCTGGTCATTGTCCTTTAACCACTGTGGCGAAATTTAAAATTTAATTTCAAAAATTATTAAATAACTTGCGCTCACATATGCGCGACTACTCTGTTTTATCGGGAGCGGGTGTGGGTAAGTAAATAACGATTGCTAATTGGGCACCAGCCAAAAGAAAACCTTTGACAAAAAAAAAGGAAATTGGAAAAAAAAATAATATTTTTGGTTTCTTCTAAATAAAAAAAATGTGTCTTCCTTTAAGTAAGTAATTTACTGTATAAATCAGGTAAGTAACTTTATCAATGTCAACTTTTGAGTCACAAAACAAAATCTAGATGCTATTATAAATACCTGGCACCAGGGCCGAGCCTAGGGTATCTGCCGCCCGGGTGCAAGAATTAAATTTGCCGCCCCCATTAATGTAAAAAATCTACTTTTCTCGCTTTTTTATTAGCAAATTCCCTAATCAAGTCGCCTACATCCAAGTTGTTAGAAATATCTTCTTTAATACTTATAATTGCTTAATTTGAAAGCCTGAATTGACTCATATTTGATCTTAATTAGTTTTAATTTCGAAAATGATCGCTCTTCATGGGCAACAGTAACTGGCATCGTCAAAAATATTCTTAAAGCTACAAATAAATTCGGAAAGATGCCTTTTAAATCATTAACTAGTTTTTAACTTAAACGCATTAAAAGACAAAAGAAACTAGAGGGTTTTCCATTTTGAGTGTCATAACTTTAACCCTAAAAATAAGGCTGCTCTGGAATGTAAATGTCAAATCTTGACAACACATGTGTTCAGTACATTGTGTCAAATTAATATGGACAGATAACAATTTAACAGCGCTTAGAAATAATTCGTATTTACCATCAAAATGCATGTTCGGTTTGCCAAACATTTTGCA